GCCTCTTGATTTATACTTCAGAAACTCGTTGGTCTGCCCTTTGCCATCGGCCCTTGGTGCTCACAGTCCCCCTGTGGTACTTGCTGGACTGGACTGGGACTGACTGGACCTTCCGCTGACTGACTGTGGACTTACCGCTATCCTACCGACGTTGTACTGCCGTTGTCCACCACTTGCCTCTCCACTTGACCACTTGCCCACTGCCTACCTTCTAGAAGGTCTACAGCTAAGCTTCCGGAACTCACTAAGACTCCTACGCTATAGACCTACAGATYGAACCCCTGCTGCCTATGGACCTACGACAGGCCTACCAACTGCCTACGAATACACAGGTCACAGGTTCAATTCTCGGTGTCTACACAGATACTGTACATGGGTAGGGTGAGGTCTAGGGATCGAACCCTGGGTTCTGCATCCGCCACTGCTAAAAGGTGAAAACCTTTTCACACAGATCAACGGCCAGAAATGAAGAATCAGAGTACTAAGTGGGACTCGGCCCTTGATCTCTGCTCACTGTGAGTCTGTTGCCCATTGCAAGACGTACTGACGGCAAGGTCCCACTAACCAAGAGGCGTGGATTGAACACATGAATCTGGACGTGTTTGTGGAAAGGTGCCTAAAATAGAGCGATTGGACTTGCTTTTCTGCATCTCTGCACTAAACACATCCAGATTCATGTGCATACTCCAACTCTCTTTGCTTTTAGGACCCCATGCCCTTAGTATCCCTGAACCCCATAATATTATGTACAATATCAAGGCGGAGCATCTCCTGGGGTCCACCTGAAAGGCAGTGGATGCCACCTGCGCTGCTTCCCTGCAGCACATGATTGATATTATGCTCGGTAACAGGGACAGTGCACCCGGCCTCCAACAGCTGCTGCTGCTGTCCACCAATACGTTGGAGACTTGGAGTCATCGCTTATAAGCGCGGGGGGGGTGTTACTCACTACTGAACTGAACTGAACTGAACTGAACTGAACTGAAGGCTGCTCTTATCACTCTCGGCCCTCGGGTTATACTGGGGCCCACAGTAGGACGCTTAAAAAGAAGTTCAGAAAACGGAAAAAAACATTCTTTCTTTTTTCTTTCTCCCTGAGAATTCATGTACAGAACTGTTCTTCGCCGCCATTGTGCGACCTTTGTCCTGGCCAGTCTGACGAGATCATCCTTGTGATCCCATCCCCTACTCCTTCCGTAATCACCCGGTTGCAAGCCTACGTAGTCCTTCCTTTTCTTCTCGTTTTCCTTAATTCCCAATCCTTCTTCTCAGCGCATTGTGTTGCGTAGTGCCTTTTCAGTACGAACACCTTTGACCCCTGAACTGAGGATGTGGTGAACCTTTCCAAATTGCCCACCCAAAGAGAATGTGTTTGTGTGTGTGTGTGTGTGCGTG